CCTGGTACTGTAAGCCCCCAAAGTTCAACCCTTACCTCACAGTTGGTGGTGGTGGGGGGGTGCAAACGGTTACATTCACTTGGAAGCGATAAATCCAATAATGGTTGAAGCTAATCAGGACTACGCATTTTTTTTTTTTTTTTGTTATTTTCTACCTCAAACCCAAGAACTTTGAGTTTCTTAGTTGAAAAGACTCATTTACTTTCATTGTATGTGAGGTTTTTACTCTCTGCATCCTCGAGAAATTTCTTCAAACTGACATCATTTTGTGTAATTCCACATATAGTAATTTTAGCTCGACAAGCAAATGTGCTTTCCGGCCCTTCCTTAATAAGTGTGTCCATAATCCATTGAAAACAAGCAACCCCATTCGTAACTTTGAAAGGAATTCTTGTGAACATTACCGTACGCCTCAAACGCCGTATAGGGCTTATCTTGCTCCCGGATTGGCACTTGCCGATATGCACTGCAGAGATCTGCAGTGCTAAAAAGAATACTGGGCAATGTTATTTACAGTCAGGTCAATACGTGGGAGAGGATAGCTTATCAACTACTGTAAATTTGTTAATTGTTTCTGAATAGTCTATTTCAAGTCTTGTTTTCCGTGGACCGTCTGAGGCTCTCCTCAAGGAACCTCAAGGTTTCTTGTTCGATAAGTTTACGCTCATCGAGAGAGTATCCTCGCGTCTTAACAGCAATTGGGCGACAAACAATGCCGGTGATTGAATAGAAAAAGAGTGCTTAAACCACGTTTCACAAAGGGAGGTAAATTTTCACCGTATGACAATGTTATGTTATCCTGAAGCTTTTGAAAATTCTGTCCCACGACCACATCTGCGCAACTCTCCGGTAGTATCCCCAAGCGAACACTCTAGTCACGTTCATTCACTTGGAGGGTCTCCTGACAATATCTTGTTATTTCAACGGAAAGTGAAGCTGAAGCCATTGTCACAGTACTGATAGAATAGTAAACATTAAATGAATAGAATTCAACCATTCTTGGATGAATGTAGTTTCCAGTACTAAAACTGTCGCTTAAACCATCCATCTCTCTTCCATTTAAAGACACTTTTGCAACTTCTGTCCTCATGAACTGGGTGCGACAGCAAAAATATTGTTAGAAGATACAGACGTTGAACTTGGAGGGGCAGTGCCATTTTACACCTTCAGCAGACAGTTTCAGATGCTGAGCAAGCGGAATATGGGCGGTTTGAACCACACAAAAATGTATTCTTTCTTTTTAAATGAAGCAGACAGATTTGCGGACGGTAAATTCGTCACTCGCTCAGTTTTGGATCGGGCATAGCAGCACTCTCTGATTGTGGTTTCCGTTCAGAACTGTAAAACTGAATTTTGCAGGGCGTTTTCGAACGTTCTTGTCTGGTCAAATATGGTCGCTAAGTCAAGCGTCTTATAATTCTAATAATCGTTGTCGAAGAAAAGGAAACTACAAGCCAGAAATGTAAACAGTTTTAATGTATTCGTCCCAATACCGTGTCGCAATGACAGCCCTGAATTTGCAGCCGTTGCTTAAAATTCCCAATGCCTGAAAATATTCATCCAATGTCATACAAAAACATTATTAGTAGGCTTCACAAATAATGACTGTAACACACTAATGGCTTCTTCATTCTTTGTGTTAAAATTGTGCTGTAAATCCTGAGGGAGACAAAATTTGTTAAGAGGCTCAATTTGTCCACGATACTACTTTCTATGAATAGAAGAAAATTTTCAAAGCTTTTGAAACAGTGTTCCCATTCTTATTTAGAGATTCCTGAAATAGGACCACAGTGAAGCCTATCTGGGCTACGTGATCGATTTATGATTATGCCGATGGTTCAAAGTAAAGATCCTCTGAGTACATTTATATTAAGTAAATTGTAATACTAAAGGAGACACGAAGGCCTTATTCATCATAAAAATGAAACACCATTAGAAGAAAAGGTGTCAATAAACGAAAATGAAACTGTTAAAGAGAGAATTATATATCCAAACAAGGCGGTGTCTAGCCAAGACAGTTACTTAGAATAAAATAGTCCAACTCCACTATAAGTTGTGAAGTAATCGTTTTAAGTAACGCAGTCAGTCGAAATAAGTGCTGTGTAATTTGTTGCAGTAAATATTCCCCATCTGTGTTTTACGGAAATTCTATCCCTTCTTCTGGGGGTGTTGATAGTAAAGTTTTTTATCAAGCACCCTGGCAGGTGGATGCAAATTCCGCGAAACTAAGAATGGTAACAGGTAAGTAAACATTTCAATTCCCTTCCTATTATATATTTATATAGAATAAACATATAAGAAATATTTCTTACCAAATAATAAAATCTACATAATTTTAAAGAATTATACTTTTTTTAAGTCCAGCCGATTGTTATTACTTTAAACGCTATTTTTAGTGGATACCCGTATATGAGTAGAAACTCCGTTTACTTAACAGAGTATTTATTACGTCTACCGGCCTGCGTACTCGAGAAAATGTGCCTGCCAGTAGGATTCGAACCTATGTCCTCCTTCTTAGCAGGAATCACCGTCTGATCTGGCGTGCTTTGACCGCTCGTCTATGAAGAGCTACGCAATCAAGCTGGGCTCTAGTTGCCTTTAAATGGGTATTTCCAGCAGAATAATGCACCATGTCATCCAGCTCATGAATTGATTTGAGGATCATTCCATTGATTGATTCATTCATTATTTACGGTTTATCAACCCATTGCAGGTTATTTAAAATCAAAAAGTGTTTCTTTTTTATAAGATTTTTGGTGGGGGAATTTTAATGATTTTGTGAGACAAGTCTTACTAATTAACTCATAGTTGGGGGAGGAGAAAAGGTGTACTCATACCTTTCCGAAGGGTACTTGAGCGTAAGTGAATATTAAGAACCAAAGGATGGATATATAAATATATATATATATATATATATATATATATATATATATATAAATTAATTGATTTAAAATATGGTTTTTAAAGTTCAACCATGTTTCAAAATACAGTTCAATTTAATTTTGCAATTAAATTAAAGCATTAGTTCCATTTCATCTTCAAGCGAATTTTTTTTTTCAAGATGAAATGGAACTAATGCTTTTAATTTAATTGCAAAAATTAAATTGGGGTTTTTTTTCTATTTTTGAAACATGGTTGAACTGTTAGCGAAAAAACCATATTTTAAATCAATTAATTTATAATATTAATGTTCTGTAAATTTACATTGAGCACTATTTTGTAAAAATAAAAATATCTATAAGAACACCGGATTTTATATCTTACTGTTCTTTCTTTTTATTTATTTATATTTATATATATATATATATATGCCATGTCTGTTCCGAATATCTGTTTCAGTTATTTTCCCTTTAGTCATTCAAATCTCCTAGTTTTTGTTCGCCTCTGCTGTGGCCAAGTATTGAACTCACAACTCTTTGGATCAAGTCAATGAATTACTTCAACCAACGCTTTTATCCAAGTGTCCTTGAAGATAGTGTAAATAGATAATGTCATTATTATAATTATCACCGGTTTCTACTGTTAATTTTGGCACTGTTTCTTTTGAGTGCATTTAGGGAACCTCGAGGCGGTGTAATGGTTAGCAAGCGTGTCTCGCTAGAACAGTTACGAGTGAGTTCGATTCTCCCTGGGCGCCCCGCACTTTCGGCCTTGTGCCATATCTAAGCTACGCTTGGAAAATCAATTCTCTTTTTTTGTTGCATTTCCAAAATATGCAAATGGCATGTATACTATGAAGAGTTTGTTTCTTTCGCGGGTCTTGTAAAGACATTCCCCTCTCCTTACATTTACATTTCACTCGCTTTATACAGATATCAGAGTAAGCGTGGTGGGGTTAGTTATGGAACGGACATTCTGATAGTGATTTTCTAAGTGTATCTTGGATGTGGCACAAGGCCAAAGGTAAGGAGCACCCAGTGAGTGAACATTCTGATATCTATAATTCTTAAAATGTGTGTGTTTGTGTGTGTAATCGGATGTTGTTTATGCGTGTCCAAAGTCTTCATACGATTTCAAGGAATTTTTTTTTTGTTTGACAGATAATTCTTCAGTGCCGATTTTGAGTCCAAATTATTAGCGACAATGGCTCTCCACTACTTCCTGTCCATTATAACTCTCAGCAACGTTTTACTATTTACTACCTGTTCTTGGATATATATCTTTCATAAAAAAAATAATAATAATAAAAATAAATACTTTAAATTATTACAATAATATTATTTTCTATATCTATAATTCTCAAAATTGACGATCAAAGGACTCAATAGCTAAGGAGAAACGCCTCTTTAACTGCTGCTGCGCGTGAGGCTGTAACAAGATTGAGAACACAAAAATGACCCTTTTCAGGGCCACCCCCTCATTCATATTGTTAACCCCCCCCCCCATTTGGGGATGTGCCTCTGTTGCATCCAATTGTTGTTACTAATATTTATTTACGGGTGGGTAAATTCAACTGAACGTCAAAACTTCCCAGTAATGAAAGATCGGGTCGAAGACGGGTGAGACTGCTAGTTAACTATAATGTATAAATTCAAATATCTCTTATCAGAATAAAAAAAAGGAATGACGAATTACTTCTGTTCCACTTCTTTAACTGAATTTTTATCAGTCCTCCAAGTGAATTTTATACAACCCCCTCACAGGCGAAGAAGAGACTTGAAGCAACGGATATGTGGTTCTACAGAAATATTCTGAGAATACTACGGACTGTGAGCAACGATGAAGTTTTAGAGAAAATGGAAACAAAAAGGAAACTTATTCTTAACATCTGGAAGATATAGTTGCAATTTCTAGAAATTCATAAAGAGAAAAGAAGGCTTAGAAAATCTGATACTCACATGACAGATTAAAGGCAATAAGGACAGAGGAAAAGAACTAAATATGACCGACTTAGTCTGAGTAATAGATGGCGGGACAGAGTTTAGGAGAGATAACAAAAAGACAATTTATTAAGAGCTACGAAGGGCAGGAAGTTGTGGAGAGCCATAATTACCTACGTCATGAAGACACACAGAAGAATTCTTCTTTACAATCTTTTTCATTGCATTATTCTTTTCTCCTTTTCCCACACTTCTTTCTCTGTATTTTTTCTTCAACCTTCAATTTCTTGGTTTTGTTTTAGCGAATTTAACTTTTTATCTTCATCTTCCATCTTTTCTTCTTACATTTCTGTGTTTCTTTTTCTTTTTACCTTCTTTTCTTCCTTGCCTTTTTTTGTTTATCCATACCTTCTTTCTTTCTTTTTGACTTCCTTTCTTTTTTGTCATCTTTCCTTCCTTCGCTTCTTTTATATTTTTTCTTCTTATTTCTTTATTTTTCTTCTTTATTCCCGCGTTCCTTCCTTTCGTCTTGACTTTCTTTCCTTTTGTCATCTTTCATTCCCTCTTTTTTTTATATATTTTTCTTCTTTCATTCTTGCGTTCCTTCCTTTCGTCTTGACTTTCTTTCTGCCTTCTTTGCATTGTCTTCTTTTATCTTTTTGCTTTTCTTCTTTCTTTTCCACTCGCTTCTTTTCTTCTTGCGTTTCTTCCTTTCTTCTTGGATTTCTTGTTTTTCTTTTACCTTCTTTTTTTCCTCGTCTTTTTCTTTTTTCCTTTTCTTTTTTTCCTTAGTTCTTTTCTTTTGTCTTTCTTTTCTTTTTGGATTTCCACCTGGCCCCCTTTTCTTTCTTTCTAGATTTTCCTTCCTTCCTTCCTTCCTTCCTTCCTTCCTTCCTTCCTTCCTTCCTTCCTTCCTTCCTTCCTTGCCATGGACTTTATTAGGTCAAAACACACAAAATCACAGAGCCATTCATTCATCTATTTAATTGAGCTTTCGCTGATTTTTGGCAAAATTCCAGCGACTTGCAATTATTAGTTGCCCAATCATTACCTCAGCAGCAAATATGGCACAACAACTTCATCACAACGCCATCCACTTCTCTTGTCCTCCTGACTATTTTCTCTTACTTCATTCTTACGATTCTGATATATCGAACAGCCGACTTGCATTTCTGTATACGAGCGCGCTCATCCTCCTGTAGTTCGGTGGGTGAGGTCTCACATGATAAGGATCATGAATTCAGTACTCACAAGGCATTGTATAAAACTAGGCACAATTGTGTTCATTTGTTTTAATCAATCTCTTTTTATTGCTGCTTTTTTCTTGAAACACTATATCCATCAGTTTCACCAAAAAAACTTAAAGAAAATATGCCTTCCGAGTACATAAGCCGGTAGACAGTATAGATACTATTTAAATATAAACGGAACATCAACTTAGTATCAACCAAAATAATGATTGAAGGAATAAAGATATGTTGGATTAAAAAAAATCCATTAATTCTGACATTATACATACATACGTACATACATACATATATCTATCTATCTATCTATCTCTCTCTCTCTATATATATATATACACACACACACACACACACACACACATATATATATATATATATATATATATATATATATATATATATATATATATATATATATATATATATATGTCTTATGTCAGGGCATAATATGTTTTATTGTATATTACGATAATGTAGCATATTAGCTGAAGCAGATAAAGCAATATCAAGATCAATTATCCCGTAGCCCCAAGGGTCGTCGTGGCTCATCTACTGCAGCCATAGCAGGAGTTGTATTTTTTGACCAAGATGGCCTGGCAGAGCCTCTTCAAACAGGTTTGAATTTAGAGTTTTCTTTCTCCTAGACTGGTTGCTAACCAAGGATATAAGGCGCAATCTGTCTTATGAGATGTAGTCTCCTTTAATAGTTATAGGAAAAGAGGGAAAAGTGAAGAGTGGAAAGAAAGAAAAATATAAGACCTAGATTAAGAGAGATAAAAGAAAATGATTTGAGAAAGACAGAAACAAAGAAAGAGAATCAAAAAGAAAGAACGAACCTTGGATTACTTCAGAAGAAAGAAAGAGAAAAAGAAGCAAAAAATCAAAGTGACTGAAAAGAAAGAAAGAAAGAAAGAAAGAAAAAAAGAAAGAAAGAAAGGAAAAACGAACCTTTGATTACTTCGAAAGAAAGAAAGAGAGAGAAAGAAAAAGAAGGAAAAAATGAAAGTGATTAAAAAGAAAGAAAGGACCTTGAAGTACTTCAGAAGAAAGAAAGAAAGAAAGAACCTTGGATTACTTCAGAAGAAAGAAAAAAAGAAGCAAAAATCAAAGTGACTGAAAAGAAAGAAAGAAAGGAAAAAACGAACCTTTGATTACTTCGAAAGAAAGAGAGAGAAAGAAAAAGAAGGAAAAAATGAAAGTGATTAAAAAGAAAGAAAGGAACTTGAAGTACTTCAGAAGAAAGAAAGAAAGAAAGAAAGAAAGAAAGAAAGAAAGAAAGAACCTTGGATTACTTCAGATGAAAGAAAAAAAGGAGCAAAAAGTGACTGGAAAGAAAGAAAGAAAGAAAGAAAGGAAAAACGAACCTTTGATTACTTCGAAAGAAAGAAAGAGAAAGAAAAAGAAGGAAAAAATGAAAGTGATTAAAAAGAAAGAAAGGACCTTGAAGTACTTCAGAAGAAAGAAAGAAAGAAAGAAAGAAAGAACCTTGGATTACTTCAGATGAAAGAAAAAAAGGAGCAAAAAGTGACTGAAAAGAAAGAAAGAAAGAAAGAAAGAAAGGAAAAACGAACCTTTGATTACTTCGAAAGAAAGAGAGAGAAAGAAAAAGAAGGAAAAAATGAAAGTGATTAAAAAGAAAGAATGGACCTTGAAGTACTTCAGAAGAAAGAAAGAAAGAAAGAAAGAAAGAACCTTGGGTTACTTCAGATGAAAGAAAGAAAGAAAGTAAAAAAGAAAGAAGCAGAGAGAGAGAGAGAGAGAGAGAGAGAGAGAGAGAGAGAAAGAGAAGGGGTGCAATTGGTAGGAAATAAGTCCTGGGATTATGAACAACTTAATCTGTTCATCTACCAAATGAACTCGAGTGTCCCGTGTCTCGCCTGTCTTTACCAGGAAATAAGGAACTTATTTTTGTCTTTGTTTTCTTTTTATCTTTCCTTGAGGAAGTTATTTCCCGCCTAAAGTACCCAGAACGTTTGAGTATGACCCCCCCCCCATAGAGTGGGAAAGATAGTGAGATGAAGAGAGCAAACAAGAACAAGGGGGGGGAGATAGAAGTGAAGAAGAGAAAAGCAATAAGAGGAAGCAGTTTGACAATGAGAGCAAAGGAAATGATAGGGATGTTCGAGGTAATTTAACTTCCTCCTCCACCATACGTCGATGATCTTTAAAAAAACCGGCTCTCACTGGCAGTTGGTCACGTGATTGGCTCTTAGTCACGTGAATCTGAGGCCAGAGGTCAGGCAGATTGGTATCTGTGGCCCGGTTGTTACATGGGAGCACTCGCGGTGTAGGAAAAGTGGAGGCACGAGATAGAGGCAGCGGGGGAAGCGTGAATGGGTGAAGATTAGTGGCTTACGGGTGGGGTAGTAGGTTTAGGGCCTGGTGATTACAGGGTGAAGGGAACTGCCACTGATTACTGTGAATTCACTAAGCGTCTAAATTGAGTTTGAATTGGTTTTCACATCAAACTGCAAGAAGAAGAATATCGCGGAAGGAAAACTAGAAACAAAAATTATTATTATTGGTTTTCTTATTATTATTATTAGACAGAAAGAAAGAAAGAAAGGAATAAAGAAAGAAAGATAGGAAAATAGCAGTGTTTAACATCTACTGCCAATACCTCACAAATAATGGACTATTCCTATTTGATCAGGTGGCCAGAGAAGCAATGCAAATAAAAGTGACGATTGGAAAGAAAGAAAGAAAGAAAGAAAGAAAGAAAGAAAGAAAAAAGGTGTATACAAGAAAGAAAGAAAGAAAGAAAGAAAAGGTGTATACAAGAAAGAAAGAAAGAAAAGAAAGAAAAAGGTATACAAGAAAAGAAAAGAAAGAAAGAAAAAGGTGTATACAAGAAAGAAAGAAAGAAAGAAAAAGGTGTATACAAGAAAGAAAGAAAGAAAGAAAAAGGTGTATACAAGAAAGAAAGAAAAAGAAAGAAAAAGGTGTATACAAGAAAGAAAGAAAGAAAGAAAAGGTGTATACAAGAAAGAAAGAAAGAAAGAAAAAGGTATACAAGAAAGAAAGAAAGAAAGAAAAAAGGTGTATAAAGAAAGAAAGAAAGAAAGAAAAAAAAAAAGGTGTATACAAGAAAGAAAGAAAGAAAAAAGGTGTATACAAGAAAGAAAGAAAGAAAGAAAGAAAAAAAGGTGTATACAAGAAAGAAAGAAAAAAAAAAGGTGTATACAAGAAAGAAAGAAAGAAAGAAAAAGTGTATACAAGAAAGAAAGAAAGAAAAGAAAAAGGTGTATACAAGAAAGAAAGAAAGAAAGAAAAAAGGTGTATACAAGAAAGAAAGAAAAAAAAGGTGTATACAAGAAAGAAAGAAAGAAAAAGGTGTATACAAGAAAGAAAGAAAGAAAGAAAGAAAGAAAAAAAGAAAAAGGTGTATACAAGAAAGAAAGAAAGAAAGAAAGTGTATACAAGAAAGAAAGAAAGAAAAAGGTGTATACAAGAAAGAAAGAAAGAAAGAAAGAAAGAAAAAGGTGTATACAAGAAAGAAAGAAAGAAAGAAAGAAAGAAAAAGGTGTATACAAGAAAGAAAGAAAGAAAGAAAGAAAAAGGTGTATACAAGAAAGAAAGAAAGAAAGAAAAAGGTGTATACAAGAAAGAAAGAAAGAAAGAAAAAGGTGTATACAAGAAAGAAAGAAAGAAAGAAAAGGTGTATACAAGAAAGAAAGAAAGAAAGAAAAGGTGTATAAAGAAAGAAAGAAAAGAAAAGAAAGAAAAGGTGTATACAAGAAAAAAGAAAGAAAAAGGTGTATACAAGAAAGAAAGAAAGAAAAGAAAGAAGAAAAAAAAGGGTATACAAGAAAGAAAGAAAGAAAGAAAGAAAGAAAAGGTGTATACAAGAAAGAAAGAAAGAAAGAAAGAAAGAAAAAGGTGTATACAAGAAAGAAAGAAAGAAAGAAAGAAAAGGTGTATACAAGAAAGAAAGAAAAAAGAAAAGGTATACAAGAAAGAAAGAAAGAAAAAAGGTGTATACAAGAAAGAAAGAAAGAAAGAAAAAGGTGTATACAAGAAAGAAAGAAAGAAAGAAAAAGGTGTATACAAGAAAGAAAGAAAGAAAGAAAGAAAGAAAGAAAAAGGTGTATACAAGAAAGAAAGAAAGAAAGAAAGAAAAAGGTGTATACAAGAAAGAAAGAAAGAAAAAGGTGTATACAAGAAAGAAAGAAAGAAAAAGGTGTATACAAGAAAGAAAGAAAGAAAGAAAAAGGTGTATACAAGAAAGAAAGAAAGAAAGAAAAAGGTGTATACAAGAAAGAAAGAAAGAAAGAAAGAAAAAGGTGTATACAAAAAAGAAAGAAAGAAAGAAAGAAAAAGGTGTATACAAGAAAGAAAGAAAGAAAGAAAGAAAAAGGTGTATACAAGAAAGAAAGAAAGAAAGAAAAGGTGTATACAAGAAAGAAAGAAAGAAAAAGGTGTATACAAGAAAGAAAGAAAGAAAAAGGTGTATACAAGAAAGAAAGAAAGAAAGAAAAGGTGTATACAAGAAAGAAAGAAAGAAAAAGGTGTATACCAGAAAGAAAGAAAGAAAGAAAAGGTGTATACAAGAAAGAAAGAAAGAAAAAGGTGTATACAAGAAAGAAAGAAAGAAAGAAAAAGGTGTATACAAGAAAGAAAGAAAGAAAGAAAAAGGTGTATACAAGAAAGAAAGAAAGAAAGAAAGAAAGAAAGATATAATTGATGTCGTGGTTATCAGTATGGACGCTGCAATCGACAGGCTGAGTTCAAATTCAGAAAAAGACTACGAACAGAAGGCAAGTTAGTCTCGCGAGATCATTTACGACTGTGGGTTCGATCCTTATTGGCTGCCACATCTAAGCTACGTTTAGAAAATCACTAAAGTAAGAAGAGAAGAGACAAGTAGACGAGAATGGCGGGAAAAAAAGGAAGAGACTTAATAAGTAAAATAAAAATAAATGATAGATGACAAAAAGAAAAGAGAAGGAGTCGGAGAGATGGAAAGGAGTTTGAAAGAGCATTAATAAATAAATAAATAAATAAATAAAAATGAGAGATACGAGGGAAAAGAGAAAGTAAGGTATTGATGAACAGTGACCAAGAATAATGGAAAGAAGGAGACGGGAACCGGAAGTGACAAACAGCTATAAATGACGGGATTTTTAATTTTCAAATTAAACAATTCACACTTGCCTTCTTTTTTTTTCTTTTTTTTATTAACAATTCATGTGAGTTGTTGAGACTGATGATGAGTAAATTAGCTAAATGATGCGAAATTGACAAGTGACCTTCTTCCAATGGAAGTTTAACATATGTGACCTGAGGAAGATATAAAAGCGCACCAGGCAGGACGTTACGAACGAATCAACATAAATTAGAATTCTAGACTGAGTAATTCATGGAATAATGAAAATGCTTCTTTTCATAATTTTAAGTGATTCATTATATATGGGAAAGTGATATATACTTTTTTATATATCAAGAAACTGGGAATACATCGTAGAAAACTCGGGGAATTTAAATGAAGGATTGTATTAGATCATCGCAAAAGTTCGCGCCCGATTAGAAAATTAGAACAATATTTTGCATACACACACACACACAAAAAAAAATTCTTTACGAATCTCCTCGCCGAAAAAAGCAGCATAGCATGATGAAAAAAAAGCACCAAATTTTATAAAATCGAAGTTTTATCGTCTAAATGTTTCTGTTAAGAGGCAAGACAAAAGTATTTTTTGATTATTTTATTAATTTTTTTCATAATTTGTAACACGTTCGAAATTTTGGTTAAAAATGTTTTTTTTTGTTTTTTTTACGTCAGAGGTCAACATAGTATTTACCATTAGCATTTTTACCGCTTTTAAAATCTTTTTTTTTTTTTTTACGTCAGCGGTCTACGTAATATTTGCCATTAGCTTTTTTTACTGCTTTTTTCAGGTGAAAAACATTGATTTGGATATTCTTTCAAATAATTGTCGGATTTTAATGAAACTTTCAGATCTTATTCACAAATGAAGGAAATTTTTATGACATGAGTTTTTTTTTTTAGGGGGGGGGGAAGCCATGATAAAATATTATTTTTTACATCTGTTGACTCCACCTTACTTAATTTTATGAAGACTCGACAATTTCGCCGGCGTGCCTTTTAGTGATTATATTAGTTAAGAGAAGACTGAAGAATATAAATAATCGTTTTTTTTTTTGTAAAATCGGAACAGAAAATTACGCCAAATTAAGCTCTGAATTGTATCATACAAAACCCAACAAAACTAACACATTATTTAACTAGAAAAGCTTTTAATGGATTTTATGTATGATATATGTTAAGGACAATATCGTCTGAAGACAAAATATTTTTCCTATGAAAAATGAATTTTTACAAGAATAGTTTCCTTTTTCAGTTTTACATACAAAATGTGATAAATGTATTAAAATTAAGTTTCAATCCGTGACATTTAGGGAATGCTATTATTAAGTAGATCTGTTTTTACAGATCATAAATTTGAAATCTTATTACAATCTGCGATACACAGGTATTTTTAAAATATTTTTTGAGTATACAAAAATTTTTTAAAAATGTTTTTCCCAAATATATGGATTGACGTTTGAGATATAAATGTCACATTCTTTAAGATGTGTTTTCCCTAACAGCAAGAACCTGTCCTCAGCATTTTTTTTTTGTTTTCCTTCTGGCGAACACGCGTTAATTTCTCTGACTGACTGACTGACTGACCATCATCGTCGCATTTTCAAAATTTTTAATTGCCATTTTTACATCCTATTTCATCAAATATTTTAATTTAATTTTTTAAATATAATTAATTTATTGTTTTTCAGTGAGAGGCACACTAGAATTATTAATTATTTTAATTTTTAGTTTCAATTTTAGGGACGGAAACAGTGCAGGCTTCGTTAAAAAAAGTACATAAAAAAGTAAAAAAAATAGACTTTTAGAAGTATTTAATTTTTAAAAATGACTATATAGTTAAATAAGCTGGTTTACTTAAAATTCGGAAATATTGCCACTTCTATCCTTCCGTCTGATACCTTTCTCTGACGTAAGCTGCCGATACATTGACGTAAACTTCAATTCACACCTTCAAAACAAGTTAACACGGTTAGACATGCTTCACTTATTTTCGACTAAATTTTTTTTCTTCTAAAAAATTAAGTAATATTTGTTTTCAATTGCACTAAGTAAATTTTAAATTATCTAATTTTCCTCAAATGACTTTGAAAAGGTATAAGTGATTTTTACAAGATTGTTAAACGATGAATTTCACTTTTGTTTACAAATTTCTAAATAAATGGCGGGTACCATAAATTTTTGGCAATTTTGCTGACTCAAAAAAACAAGATTTCGGATGTGTTAGGAAGGATTAAAAAATATAAAATTAATAAAAATTATCTTAGTCTTTCCTCTTAATAATTGCATAAACATTTAGACAATAAAAAATCGTTTTCATCAAGTTCGGGGCTTTTTTTTATTAGGGTATGCTCATTTTTAACGAATTAGTGGAGATATCTACATTTATTAGTCAAGTTTTTATCAAGGGTCTCTCATCGTTCTACAAGCTTTTTGATGCCTTTTTCGTAAAAACTTTGTGTTTTTTTTTTGTTTTTTTTTTTGTTGGAAGAAAGTTATGAGATAATTTTCAACTGACCCGACAGAGTCAATTTGTTTAGTCATTTAAATTGTTCTGTAGAAACTGGAACAAATGTAAACCCGAAGGAGCCAAATCAGGAGAATACTGTGGGTGCTGGAAGATCTCCCATTTCAATTCTAAAATTCTGCAAGGTCTGCTTTGCAATATGTCTTGCGTTATCGTGGTGGGACATGACACCTTTTCGATTTGCCCAAATCGTTTATTTTTCCTTGAATATCCGCAATGAGATTGGTGGGTTGGTAGCAATACCTTTGTCGTTATTGTTTCGCCGACTGCGAGAAGCTTAAAGTGAATTATTCTTCTGCAACCGCACCAAACGGACAGTAACAACTTCAATGGATGCAAAACCGTTCAGCACATTCAAAAGCTTGTTTTCAGTTTCGTTTGTTCGTACGTTTCATTTTTCATCGTCTGTGGCAATTCTGTCCAAGAACGGCTCCTTTTCGTGGCATAACAGGAAAGAAATCGTCGCAAAAACACAATCGAGCTTGTTCTGCTCTGTCAGAGAATGTGTCGAAGTTGGAAACGAACCCAAATCACTTCATATGACGAAAAGCATTTGAGATACTGATTTTCAACCTCTTAAAAATCTCTTCCGTCGAAATATTCTGTTTATTCTTCACGATGTCAAACATGGCGTCTTCATCGACGTCTGAAGGTCGTCCAGCGAGTGATTGGTCCTTTAGGCTAAAACCACTCTGACGAAATCTGCTACAATTTTTGATCGTCCGAAAAGCTAGAGCAAGATCCAGCTGAACTTTCTGAATGTTTTTTCTTCTTTGTCACATTACCAACGCTCCCTCCTTTCTGAAATTCATAAAGCATATAATATGGTGAAAGTGCAACTTCCCTCTCCACATCTTCTATTTGCGGACAAAAAGTCAACATTCAGGCTCGCAACTGAATATTGCCGATTTTCAATCTAAAACACACTAGAAACTTGTACCAAAACAAACGCTAATGACAAATTGCGGTCATTTTATATTAACAATGAAAATCGAGCAAAAACTTTTGCAACGATTTAACATGAACGCGAGGAGGAGGCATTTCTTTATCTTTTGTTTTTTTTTTTCTTACAGAACAGCCCATACATTGCATTGGCTATTCACCGTAATGGGTTTGACCGTGATTTGATTTGGGGAGTGTTACTCTAGTTGAAGGAAAAACAACTTATTAAGACGAAAATGTGTGTTTGGTCGTTGGATCATTCACGATCTGATTGTGTCTTGCAGCATTTCAGCGCTCTTGGAAATTCTTCTGTTGTCACAATGTGTGATATTTATTGGCAGAAGTGATGGAATCAAGAAAAGAGAGAGAAGGAAACTAAATGAGATCGACTGGGCTATATGTCGGTACGTCTTTGGCGATACATAGTGACTAAAGCAGCAGTCAAATACACTTTGTTTACAGAAGCTAAACCGTAAGCTTGATTTCTTTAGGCACCCCACCGCATGGCTTGGGTAGAGGCTAAATCTGCCTCTCCTGCAGCTTATAAGTCCATGGTGCCGTTTCCATTTGTGAATATTTCTTTCCCAGATAAAGAAAGAAACTCAAGCTCACAATGCTCAATTTGGTAAAAACACAAAACTAGCTATTTTCCGTCCGTGGAATATGTTCTCGACTTGTAGATAAATGAATCCGGTTTGTTTGAAACTGGAGTCCTAAACTTAGCTTCTCCAGGTACGGGATTATCTTCATATTATATGTAAGATATTTCCTTTTTTTTTCTCCTTACATTCTGTCCGCTGTGTAGATATATATTTCCGCGTATTATATATATATATATATATATTCTCCGCGTGCGACATTTGTATATATGTATATATAGTTTTGTGTCTGCCTTAGTAATATAAAAGTCTCTTTGAGAACAAAGCGTGTTTGTCATTCCTTTTTCTTTTAAGCATTCTGTCCCATCCGTGAACTACGGCGTTATGATATCATGGATATAGTGATGTCCATAACGAGGCAAATACAAATGGGAGAATAAATCATACTTCCATAGCTCTCTCACGTTACATGCCTAAAATATATATTGGAAAAGGTAAGGAAATAATATACATATATATATATATATATATATATATATATATATATATAAATATAAGTGGACATGTTTCATGCTCTTGGACAATCTTCTGGCCTAATGATTGCACCAAATCAAGAAAACGACTGTTGCCACTCGCTATTGACCTCAGTGAATACTTTTAGGTTTATATACGCTCTTTTTCCCATAAATATAACATACTCTATATCTTTATTATAAATATATATTTATAATATATATATATATATATATATATATGTGTGTGTGTGTGTGTGTATACACACACACATACACACATATATATAGAGAGAGGGGGAGAGAGAGAGCGATGGGTAAATTGTCGTCATTTTATATAAAAATATAAAATAATAAAATTTCGCGCATGGATATTTTTCGACTGCACAGTAATCTCAGTTGGTCTGTGAGAAAAAGTGCACCATGACGCAATTCACTCAGCCAGAAATTTGGAAACGGCATGCTGTACTGCTTGGCATTCGCGCTGGAAGCTTCAATACGAACATTTCAGAGCGTTTGACTGTCAACAGTGCAGAGAATTCTATGTATTCTTTGTAAGAAATCAGTTTGTAGATGAGATTTCATT